TTTCATATTGCCCACATTGGCATGGATAACCTCAAGTTAGCTTGTCTCTTTTTTGGGGGAGCGGGGGGATTCTGGGAACTGAACTCAGGGCAGTCGGCCACTGAGCCACATCCCTAGCCCTATTTTGTATTTTATTTAGAGACAGAGTCTCACTCAGTTGCTTAGCGCCTTTACACTCCTGCCTCAGCCTCTAGAGCTGTTGGGATTACAGGCATGTGCCACCGCTCTTAACTAACGTTAGTATCAAGTTCTGAGGACCCCTGTGACTACTAGTTGGAAACATTGACTCTAAACCACTGACCAGGTTATTAGCTTGATTAAGTTATTTGTTCGGTTTATGTTTTACAATTGTTAGGTGATTTACCCTGTTTGCTTTCATGGATGTTGGCAGAATTAAATAGGATAATAGATATGAAGATAGTTGACTTTTTTAAAAGTATTTTTTTTAGTTGTCAATGGACTTTATGTTGTTCATTTATATGTGGTGCTGAGAATTGAATCTTGTGCCTCATTCATGCTAGGCAAGCACTCTACCATTGAGCCACAATCCAAGCCCACATTTGACTTTTTATATTTGTGGATTTAACATCTATGAATTCAACCAACCATGGATCAAAAATAATAGGAAATAAAATAATTATATTTGTATCTAACACGTACAGATTTTTCTTGTCATTATTCACTACACAATGTAACATAACAATTTACGTAGTATTTATATTTTATTAGGTAGTATGATGAATATATTGATGATTTAAAGTATATGGGAGGATATACATAGTTTATTCACAAATTCAATGCCATTTTCTATAAAAGACTTGAGCATCTGGAGATTTATGTGTCCACAGGAATGGGTGGTCCTAAAGCCAATCTTTCCTGGATATTGAGGGAGAACTCTACTTGAAAATATTATAAATGAAAGTAATTGCAAGTTGTTTCCACAATATCACTGGGATGACCCTTTGCTTACTTTAAGTCTTAATGTGTTCCTTGTCCTCTCAGGTTATGTAGGGGAGAGAGAAAAAAAATACAATCCCCATTCTTGCACGCTTGTCAGTCTACCTCCTCAAACTTACATAGCTCTAATTGTACCTAATGAAAGAAAAGTAACATTTTGGGGGGTCTTAGTTGCAGGAAACATTTTAAATAGAACTGGCCAGGGGCATTTTTCAAAATAAAATCTAAATAATGCAAGATTGTTAATGGGAACTGTGCCAGAGCTAGATTACATGACTAATAAAAATCAACCTGAGTCTCAGACTGTCAGGCAGTCTTGATCATACTTTTACTAGGTCAGCAATAGTGACAGCAGGACTCAAACTAGGCTTTGTCTTTGAATTCTAGGATCTTGGTCATCATCAACAACTTCATATTAGAGCTTGTTCAAGGATTAACAAGCAATTTGTTGTCTACTGTTCATATGCCAGTAGAGTGGGAGTAAATATATGGAGAGCCCAAGCCTAAGGTTGCTCATGGAAGGTTAAGGGTTAGAGAACATAGAAACATTTCCCCCTTTAACCCCTTATCACCATCTCAAGTTAATGCATGTGAGGCTGGCATGACCTGCATCATTTGTACTTTGAAAGGGTTGGACAATGACACATAAGAGAGTCTCCTGTCTTGTGCCTGAAAGCATGTCTGGGGATCTGGGCTTTATAGTAGAAGACACTGGTCTAAGATGTTTCCAGAAGATAAGTGGAACTTTATTAACCTTTTGACTTCCAACATCCTGGCCTTGTAGTACTTGTTGTACCTGGGGGTTTCTTCCTGCTTTAGCTGCTCTTTCTTGATTCACTTATTTTGTGCCTAAGTCAGTGTAATATTTTTATCCTTTCAGACCAGCAGAATCCTCTGGTATTAGCTACCTTGCCAACTGACCTCTTTTGTACTTTTCCTGTCAAGTAGCATTCCTAACCCAGTGGCCTTTCTTAACATAGTACTGCCAGTGTTGTTATTTTTTTAAAATATATTGGTGATTGTTCATGGTTATTATAACATATAAATCAAAATTATTATTTATTAGCAATATACATAGCAATGCTAGCAATACCAACAATTCCAATTATGGCTTCAGTTTATTGAATACCTACTATATGCCAATACTATATTATTTATTTTCCACATATTATTTTAATATGTGGTTATACATTATAATCATTCCAGTTAAGAATATGCATCTATTTTTGCTCATAGTCAGATAATAAAAGGACCCCCTTTCTTCCATTTCTAATGGAGTCATCGTAAAGAACTTCTCAGTTTCCAGGTGAGGAAACAGAGTTAAATAACTTGTCTGGGGTCACAGAGCTAGTTAAACCCAGTGTGTCTTAGTTGAAAGCTTAATTCTGAGTTAAGAAACCACTATATGGGCTGGGGTTATAGTTCAGTGGTAGAGCTCTTACCTAGCATGTGTGAAGTACTGGGTTCAATCCTTAGCACCACATAAAAAGTAAATAAATGAATAAAATAAAGGTATTGTGTCCATCTACAACTAAAACCATTTTTAAAAGAAAGCACTGTATTAGAATTATCCTTTACTTTAGTCAACCTTATTTTCTTCCAAAGGGATAAATGCATTTTATAGTGAACTTCTTTCTGAACTTTGGACATTCTACCTATTCTTTCTATTATTGAGACCTCTGGTGAACAGTTCTCTTTCCATGGGGGTATAGTATAAGAAGGGGAATATATTTAACAAATAAATCTCTTCATCTGCATGGAAAAATGCCATGGAGCAGATATGTTTAAAGTTTGTAACATCAAAAAGTCTTCAGAATACTTTGGATATCCAGCAGAAGCATTTCTTTTTCTTCTGTGTTAATACCTTTTAAACCATGTGAACATTTACCTTCCCTCTACCCACTGCCACTTCTCTAGTCCTCTTTGTCTCCCAGATATAGCCAATATACTCCATTCTTTGCCAATATGCAGATGTACAAAACTTGACTACTTTTTCCATTAATGATAATTCAAGAACACCTGAAAACTATCTAGGTCATAGATCTAGGAATTTGATATTCAGATAGTCATATAACTGAATCTGAATTAGGATGCTTGAACCATATGGCGTTGATGCCAAAGTAGAGCAGAGATAACATATCTGTTAAACAAATACCACTTAGTGCTTACTCATTTAAGTAACAAACATCTACTGAGCATCTATTAGTTAATCATTTATATTCCAGAGATAGAGTCATAAACAAGAGCAACAAATTATTTGTCCTAATTAAGTTACATTTATGAAATAAACAAATGTTAGAAGAGCAGAGAGAAGAGCAAGTATAAAGGCCTATGGTTTGTATAACGTGTTCAAGAAACAGAGAAAAATGCCATCGTGACTGTACCTTAATGAATGAAGAAAAGAGTGCAGTGTTGAACCAGATCATGTATTGCTTTGTTGGAAACAAGAGAGTTTGGAATTATTTACGACAAAACTATTGAAATCATAGTCAAAAAGAATTAAATTGATTAAACTCTGCTTTATTCTCTCCTGACATTTTATCATAATAGTGCCTTTAACTTCATAGCATTTAAAGAGGTTATCCAAAACTTGACAAGAGTATGTGAATTTCTTTCATTTGATCCTAGTGGGCGTAACTCATGTTGTTTGGGTTCTATATTAGGAAGAGAGAAAAGCAATATCCTACAATCTACATAGTGTATTGGGTTGCATCTGAACATCTGAATTAGAGTGCTTTCACAACATTTTTCTCACATGACATAGTCAGGGGTGCTTGCTAATTAACTTCACTAGAAACAAGTAGGAGTCATTTTGATTATGTTAGTTTATAAGCCCAATGCACACAGCTGTCTGTCCTCCTGTGTTTTGAGATATATGAATTTCAATGAGTGAGTAATAAATAGTATGCATAGCACCAGTCATTTGGGGCCATCTTCAAGTTAGCAGTTGGCATGCTAATTCCATCTGTTATAGGATTATTATTACTTGTTGGTAGAAACACTTGGTTTTTGTATAGCTGCCCTTGGCACTTTGTATTTTTGGCAGCAAGTATCCTTTATGTTTAGAACAGATACACTCCTGAAAAGTCCTCCATAAAGTAAATTCAACACTCCTACCAAGATTTACAGTTGGCCTTCTCAGTCTTATCAGGTTGCTTCTGATCCCTTCCCCACACATTTCAATTTTCTTCTGTGTGGTTGACATCCTCTGGGTAGGAAAAATTCATGGAGTATACATACAGAAATGAAGGCATACAATTTTGTTTATTTATTTGTAGTTAAATAAATTGGTCAAACATGTTTACTGAGCTCATATTACTGAGAAGATACTAACCAAGTTACAAGAAAGTGGAATTTTAATTTCATAAATACTCCCACATAATGAGTTAGTCAATTTCTAAAGTGGCCTAATGTTAAAATTCAATGTTGATATTCTTTTATAATGGTAAGTATTGGTGGATTAATTCAAATTGACTCTACTAAGACTTGTTCTTTATGGGAGCCCCAAATTTGATCCTTGGTACGTCTCAGTAAGCACCTTAAAAAGGTATATAAGTTAACATGTGACCTCTGTGTGTTGATCTGGTTTTCTATATATATATCTTATAAAAGGAAATGTTGGCTAAGAAACCAATGGTAAAATTCAACAAGCTCTTGAATAACTTCTAAAGGACTAGCCATGGAGGAAGAGCAGAGATGACTCTAGCTGTATTTATAGAAATTTTCTCACAAGTTTTCACTTAGATTTTCAGTGTAGCACCATTTACTATTGGAAAAAAAGTCTGATTTTGTTTCAGTTCTGTAGATGGCTATAACTCCCCTGTATAGCTCTATAGCTACTTCATGGCTGGCAATGCCCACATTAGCATCTTATTTCATATCACTGTGTCGGTTGAAGTAGAAAATTGCTGTGTGTTGTTTTAATGTCATTTCTGATTTGGGGGCAAGCCTTAAATGGAAAAGTCAATACTCTTGAAATATAGAGTACAAACAAATATGTAAACACCCAATAAAACTATTTTGTTATTTTTCTGTTCCTACAGAAACTCAACATATTGTATGAAGGTGTCAATGTCCTTGACTGTAGCAGAGAATGAATCAGGCCTGTGCTACAATAGCAGAATCCGCTATTTAGAAAAATCTGAAGTCACTAAAAGAAAAGAGATCTCCTGTCCAGACATGGATGACTTTAAGAAGTCTGATCAGGAGCCCGATGTTGTCTGGTACAAGGTAATTCAGCATGGTGTCAAATTCATTTTTTACCTCAGTCTGTAGCAGGCTTTGGGGATATGAAAAGTTTGGGGTATTAAATATTTTACTGAGCATAATCAATGGATTGACAACCAAGTAACTGAGACATTTGACTCCTATATACCACTGATTTTCATGCATTTCCATCAGCAGGTGTCAAAAGCAGTCCCACTTCCCCCAAAAACTAAAAATAAACAAAATCTCCCTTTAACACAACTCATAAGACCAAATGGGAAGAAAAGTGAAGCTTTAAATAATACATGAAAGAATTATTTGGGAACATATAAATATTATTTACTGTTAGTAATTGAAAGGCCCATCATTACAAGTAGTACTTGAAAAGATTAGGTGTTATGATCATCTACAATGTAAAAGCCACTGTAGTGAATACAGAGGAGAGAAATGGGTCCAATGCAGCATTCATGGACACTTATAAGGTCTAGTAACTGGAAATAAGCTACACTCAGTGAAAGTTGAATTGAAGAGAGTTGAATGAAATATTTATTTACAGAGATATGGGCAGAGTTGAGGGAACCAACTCTGGGAGGCTGTTAAATTCATTCCACTAGCCTATACTGGTAAGGGGAAGTATCAATGTCACTGGAACCTAGGAAGAATAGAGAGGGCCTATCAAGATTTGTAGCCTTAGAGGAACATGTGAAGGTGGAAGAGGGAGGGAAGGAGCAGGATAAAGACCTTAATCTTTCTTAACTCCTACTCTCTGGTTTTCTGCTAATTGCCTCCCCAGTTTGAACTCAAAGAGAAATCAGAAGCAAAGATGGTAGATGCAATCAATAATCTTCAGCTTTTCTAGGCATAAAGTAGGAAAGACAAGGACAGAGAGTGGATCCAGTAGACAAGGCGAGAGCAACCATATGAGTCCAGATATTATATTCTGCCCTGTGGTCCTGTAGCAGGACTGAGCAGTCCATGCTGGTTCTGAGCCACAGAGGTTGACAGTTTTTATGTATGACAGCTGGAGGTGACCAAGAAGAATTTGTGTGCAGATGCTATGTGCATTGTTGGACCCTAACAATACTTAAAGAGCTATAGTAGGTTGTTTCTCTAGGATTCCACTGACTCTCAGTTTGCAGGGAAACCTAAACCCTAACTCCCACAGCTGTTGGGTGATTTTACATTTGGAAGCCTCTACATGTTCTTACATGATGAAATTTACCGATAAGCCACAAGAGCATGTTCTTCACTTTGACATATTCCTTTTATGTTTTTCTTAATGAAGACAATCTTGTGGCATATTAAAAAGGGTCATTATATTTATTATACATAGACTTATAATTTAGGGTGATCCTTTTTGGGGAGGGGGGCACTGGGATTGAACCCAGGGTGCTATACCACTGAGCCACATCCCCAGCCCTTTTTATTTTTTATTTTGAGACTGCATCTCACTAAGTTGTTGAGTGCCTTGCTAATTTGCTGACACTGATCTTGAATTCTCAATCCTCTTGCCTCAGCTTCCTGTGCCCCTGGGATTATAAGTGTGTGCCATCATGCCTGGCTAGTGTGATCCTTCATGTGATCATTTCCCTCCTTCATATTTATTAAGCACTATTATGTGGCATTCACTGAGCTAAGATTGGTTTATGCATCATCTTATTTCAATCTCAATGCAATTCTGTATGGAGAATACTATTGTATGCATTTAATAGAGAAAATAATCGGGGCTTAGATGTAAAGTTACATGGCAAACAAAACTTGATTTATATTCAAGGCAGTGTGGCTCCAGAGTCCATTTTATTAATTACTACTCTTTTCTGTAATGAACCAGCCTTGATCATTGGCACTTCTGTAAAATTTAGTGCTGGTGCTAAGGATCAGGCAAAAAGAGAGTAAGATGGTTTTATTTCAATTTTATAGGTGAGGAAGGGAATTTGACCTGCCCAAGATATACCAGTTTGAGGTAAATTCCAGGTCATCAGCCTCCTTACATATGAATTCATTCTTCTATCTCATCTCTGTATCTTTCTGCTAAATTATTTCTTCCCTTTTCCTCACATCTCTAGACATCACTGTTATCATTACATACCAAAGCAATTTATTCCTTGGGACATGCTACCACTCAATTTTTACAAATAGAGCAACAATGGAGAAGGAAAATGCATTTCCAGAATAATAATGTTTAAAATTTGCTTTTATTATTAAATTTATTTTAAACTGATATATGAAAACATAAAAAATGTACAAATTAATGGGGCAAGATGTGATGTTTTGATACTCATATACATCATGTATATGTAATGTGTAAATCAGGTTAAATGTATCTATGTCCTTAAACATTTATCATTTAATTGTGATGAGAAAATTAAAAAATCCTCTCTTCTACTTATTTTGTTTTGCTATTTTGTTTTTGGTTTTATCAGTGCTGGGGACTGAACCCAGGGCCTTCTGCTTGTTAGATAAGAACTCCCCCACTGAGCTATACTCTCAGTCCCTTCTCCTGGTTATTTTGAAATGTATAAGACCTTATTGTTTACTATAATCATACTACTATGCAATAATACTACATCAGAACTTCTTGTTCCTATCTAATTATAACTTGGTACACATTGATTAACATTACCTCTTTCATCATTCCTGTTTACCTTCCCCAGGTTCTAGTAGCCACATTTCTATCTTTAACTATTAGGAGATCAAGCTCAAGGCCACTCTCAGTGATTTAGCTACACCCTGTCTCAAAATTATGAATGAATGAATGAATGATTGAATAAATAAATAAATGGACTGGGGTTGCAGCTCAGTGGTAAAACACCCCTGGGTACAATTCCTAGTTCCCTGCCCCCCTCCCAAAAAAAAGAAGATTAACATTTTAGATTCCACATATGAGTGAGATCATTTATACTTTTCTCTCAGTGCCTGGCTTATTTCAATTCACATAGTGATTTCTAGTTCCATCCTTGTTATCACAACTGACAGGATTCTATTCCTTTTATGGCTGGATAATTTTTCCATTGTGTATATGTGCTACATTTCTTTATCTGTTCATCAGTTGATAGATCCTTCTTTTTTTCTCCTAGTTCGTGGCTACTGTGATTAGTGCTGCAATGAACATAGGGATAGAGATGTCCCTTCAACATACTGTTTCATTTCCTTTGAATATTCCAGAAGTGGGATTGCTGGATCATATGGTAGTTTTATTTTTAACTTTTGAGGAAACTTCAAACTGTTTTTCATAATGGCTGTACTAATTGACATTCACACCTGTAGTGTATAAAGATTCTTTTCTTCATATCATGACCAAGACTTGGTGTTTTTACTTTTCTGATATTAACCATTCTTATTAGAGTGAGATGATATACCGTTGTGTTTTTGATATGGATTTTCCTGGTTATTAATGATACTGAGCAGTTTTCCAAATACGTGATTGTCATTTTTATGTCTTCCTTTTTCCTTTTTTTTTAAAGAAAATGTAGGTCTACTGCCCATTTTCAATCAAACTTTTTTTTGCTCTTGAATTCTTGGAGTTCCTTATATATTCTGGATATCAACCCCTTGTCAGACATTCAGTTTACAAATATTTTCTCATTCTGTAGCTTGTCTCTTCACTCTAATGTCCTAAAACACTTTCTCTTGTTATTACATAGTTTCAGGTCTTACATTTCTATATTTAATCCATTTTAAGTAGATTTATATAACTGGTGAGACATAGAAGTCTAGTTTCATTCTTTTGCATTTGGATATCCAATTTTCCTAATACAATTTATTGAAAAGGCTATGTTTTTCTCCATGCATGTTCTTAGCACCTTTGTCAAAAATAGTTGTCTATAAATGTGTGGGTTTACTAGTAATCTCTTAATTCTGTCCTATTGCCTTGTGTGTGTGTTAGTAACATGCTATTTTGAGTACTATAGTTTGATGTATTTTGAAGTCAGGTAGTGCAATGCCTCCTGCTTTGTTCTGTTTTATTCAAGATGGCTTTGGGTATTTGGGGTGTTTGTGTATGTGTGTGTGTGCGTGTGTGTGTGTGTGTGCACGCATTTTGAAAGGGATTCCATTGAACCTGTAGATGACTTTGTAGATATTTTAACATCAATAATTCTTCCAATCCATTTTGTTTATGTGAAATTTGGTGACATTTGACCTTCCTATACTTGTCTAGGTTTGGGACATTTTTTCTTATTATTTATTTGAATAAGATTTCTATCACTTTGGCATAATCAATTCCCTCTTGGACCCCAGTTGCCCAAATATTTGCTCTTTTAATAGTGTCCCAAAGTTCCCATAAGCTTTCTAGACTTATCTTTGTTCTTTTTTCTCCTCTGACTATATTTTCAAACAGCCTGCCTTTGATCTCACTGATTCTTTCTTCTGTATAATCTATTGTGCTATTAATTCCTTCTGTTGTGTTTTTAATTTCCCTGAGTGTATTTTTCAGCTCAAGAAATTCTATTTGATATTTATTTACTCCCATTTTTAAATTTTTCTATTAGAATATTAAAATGTTTCTGTGTTTTCTTCCAGTTCACTGAGTTTTCTCAAAACAGTTGCTTCAGGTTCTCTGGGGGTTCTCCCATACTGATCATTGCTTGGTCAGTTTCTTATGCTTTATTTTGAGTAGCAGATTAGATCAAGATTTCCTGAAAGCTCTTCATGCTTATTGGCATGATATTGTCTGTGCATTGAAGAATTAGGTATTCATTCCAGTCTTCCTAATCTGGCTTTCCGCCTGTTCTTCCAGAAATTCTAAGCAGGCTGCTTTTTTTCTCTGAGACTGTAGTCATTACCACTATTTCATCACTGGATGGCACCCAGGTCCAGGTTTGCCTTGAGTATACTACTAGTGTTTTAGCACTATTTTAGCACTAGAGGGCAATCTAAGCCCAGGTTTGTCCCAAATCTATATTTAGTCAAAATGAACCTAGAAAGAGTAGTGTGTTCCAGGGTAAGCCCAGATACTTAGTCAACAGTCACCAGCCATGGCTATAGACTGTGGGATTCTGTGTAGCCTGGGTAGAATCACTATG